TTTGTTTGTTTCTAATTTAGATTACTATTTCATCATTTACAAATTTAATTTTTTTTCTACTCATTTTACATGAAACAAATGTTCATTCTACTTCGAAAAATGCTCATTTTGAGTGGAGTGGGAATGTAGGATTGTGGGAATCTCATCTTTCAGGGTCTATTTGGTACATAGAATTGACCAAATTGGAATTGAATTAGAAATTAAAATTCTATGAAATTCATTTGGATGAAATTGAATTTTCTAATTCTAATTCATTTTTTACTTCTAAATCCACATATTTTTGTGCCAAATAGCAAAATTGAAATTATTATCTTAATTTCAATTCTATAATTTGAACCTCGTATAGCAAATGAAACCTCATTTCTTTTTCATGCACCTTCCCTTCATAATGTTTCCATCATCTCCCATGATTAAAAAGATTCATTATTTTTTATCTTTGGGTGTGATAAAAACAACAAAAAAACACTCTAAACTGTTAACACTTCTTCCAATAATGTACAAATTTGTCAATGCAACTTTTTACGTTCATCTGGTACACGGTGGATTTGCCCACACCTAACCTATTCTGCATCTACTGGATTAGTGCACTGACTTAAGGGGGTGTTCGTTTTTTGGTTAGAAGAGCTTCTAACCACTTATGTCTGCACCGTGCACACGCGGGCAGACATTAGGGACGCGCAAATTGTTTGTTTTTTAGAAGATAAATCACTTAAAAACATTTTCCAAACATCTTCCTCAAGCAGACATAAACCCTTAGCTTCTCACGTCTTCTCCTCAATTACGTTCCATCTCAAAACCTACCCATCCGCCTCCCTTCCCGATCTCTCCTGTGCGCGACCCTCTCTCCACCACCGTCAGCGACTCCTCTCTCTCTCCACCGGCTCTCCTCATTCTCCCCAGTCGTCCGTCGTCCCTTGTTCGTCGTCCGCCGTGCGTCTTCCTCCTCGTAGCTGTCCGCCGTCCGTCTCCCTCATCCCTCGAGCGATGCCTCCTCCTCTCAAACAAGTAAGTTTTTTTTACTTTTTTTGGTTTTTTTAATCTCTCTTTTTTAAACAATTTTTTTTTACATTTTTTGTTGTTAACAATTTATACAATAGTCTATGTTTTTTTTACATTCTTATTATTACAGAATAGAGTAAATGGGTAATCAAAGTAAACAGAATACAACAACAATTAGACCCCCGTTTACTAATCAGCGTAGCGGCAACACAATATAGATTCAAGGCATATTAACAAATCTCATCCTTGTCGGCAACAATTTGTACAATGTTTTTTTACATGTTTTTAATACGATTTTTTATACAACCGTCAACAATTTGTTATTAAGAGTAAATTACTCAAATAAGACCTAAACCTTGCCCTTTTCTGTAAATAGGAGTACTCCTACGAGTATATGTTTTCCGCCAAGGTAATTGTCCAAAATGCTCCCAATTGGTCTTTAATGAGGAGAGATGCAGCAGAGAGTATGGCTGAACGAGAGGGAAGAGCTGTAGAACTGGAATTAATGGTTTGCTAAAAAAAGGGTAACAGTTAACTATAATAATGGAGAGTTAATTACTAATCATTATCACTTAGAAAGGAGAAAAAAAGGGTGGCGTGGGTTGAGGGTTATTTTTGGGTGGGCAATGTATTTTAACTCCTAAAAATGGGAAAAAACATACAACTCCTATCTAGGGAAAACACATGTTTAGGTCCTAGATGGAACAAATTTTACTTGTTGTTAATTATTGCTAAAGATTGCTGTAGTAGTTCATGTTGTTGCTTATTTTTGTTGATTATTGTTGTTGTAGTTCAGATTTGTTATTAATTGTTGCTAATGATTGTTGTAGTAGTTCATGTTGTTGCTCTTTGTTTGTTAATTAACAGAAATGGGAGAGAAACAACAATGGTCAAATGAGCAAATAAAATGCTTATTAGAGACTTGCATTGAAGAGGTCAGGTAAACACGTTGGGTAGAAAAAGGTTGAGTTTGCACAAAGAGTCGTGGAATAAGTTAGGAAGAGTTCTCAAGGAAAGGTTTGGGCATGATTTGAGTCAAAAACAAATGAGAAATGCGTATGACAATCTGAAAGCCAAATACAGTGGATGGGTGTATTTGAAAAACAAAACTGGCAACATATACAATGCTCAAACAAATACTTTTAGCTTAACAAACGAGGAATGGGAAGATTTTAAAAAGGTATGTTCCTATGAGTATTTTTTTCACTACTAACTATAAACAAAACCTATAATTTTTTTACTATGGGTTTAGGGGCATCCAAAGGCTGGATCCTTGAAAACAGTTCCATTGCCTTTTCCAGAGCTTTGTGCAGAACTGTTTGATGGTAATGCTGCCACTGAGATGCACAAGTGGACCTCAACCCAAAAAATATCACTTGATGCATCATCTTCTCATCGTTGTCCTAAACCACTTTTGATTATGGACACCGTTTTGCATGACACAGAAGATGATGTTGCTGACACTGGTCATCAGACCTTTGAGAGTACTCCTGAACCTAATCTTGAGCATAATCATGATCCTACTTTCGAGCATACTCCTGAGCATAACCCCGAACCTAATCCAAAGAAAAAGGCTAAAATTTTGAAATCATCTATCACTTCGGATAAATTAGCACGTGATATGCAAGAAGCTATACGATGTTTGATTAAAGGCAAAGAAAGACCAACAGTGGTTGATTGTTTAGAGAAGCTAAAGTTGGTTGGGTTAAACCCGATAGATCCCTTATTTTTAGCTGCTTACCATATTTTTGGTGTGTCATCACACATGAGGGCGGCATGGATGGCATTGCCAGAAATTCTAGAAGTTTAGGACTAATAAAGGAGTGAAAAACGTTATTTTGTTATGCTATGTTGAAGACATTGCTTGCTTTTGTTATGTTGAAGACATTGCTTGCTTTTGTTATGTTGAACACATTGATTGCTTTTGTTATGTTGAAAACATTGTTTGCTTTTGTTATGTTCAAAACATTGTATGCTTTTGGTTATGTTGAAAACATTGTATGCTTTTGATTATGTTTAATGGTTGTTTTTGTTTAATGGTTGTTTATGTTTTGTTAATACAGGATCATTATGGATTATGATAAGAAATTACTTATCGTTATTCTTATGTACTTGTATGCCCGTTTTTTTGAAGAGAAGTTTGAAACCATTGCGGGACAATGATTCAGAAATGACGGGACATAAATATATGTTAGAGTTATTGCAAGGAAATCCCAAACAATGCACTAAACTGCTACGTATGTCTCGTGAATCCTTTGTCCGACTATGTGCACATTTTAGAATGAATTATTCATTAAAGGATAGTAAACATGTATTGGTTGAGGAGAAGATGGCTATGTTTTTTATGATAATCGGTCATAATCAACGTTACGTGGTTATCAAGCGTAGATTTCAACACTTAAAGCAAACAATTAATAAATTTTTTTATGAAGTCTTGGATAAGATGATGCTTTTCGCCAAAGATATGATAGTACCAACTTCATTCAATCCAAATCCAAACATTCCAGGACATAACAAGAGGCTACGACGGGTTTTTAAAGGTGCGGTTAGTGCACTAGATGGAACTTTGATACATGATGTTGTCCCTATTGGTAAACAAGATTTATATAGAGGAAGAGGGAAAGGGGATTGATATCAAAATGTATTAGCAATTTGTGATTTCAACATGATTTTTACGTTCATTGTGGCCAGTTGGGAAGGGGTAGCACATGATGCTAGAATATTGTCAGAGGCATTATCAGATCCACATGCACCATTCCTGATTCCACCACCAGGTATGTTTATGGTTTTTTAAATATGTCTAACTTACTTTAATACCTTAGATGATTATATTTCTTTACAGAGAAGTATTATCTTTGTGATGCCGCGTATGCACATACACGAGGATTTATGGCTCCATATCGTAATGTGAGGTATTGGCTTGGAGATTTTCATTGGAGACGTACATTGACCAATAAAGAGAAATTTAACCATGCACATGCAAAACTTCAGAACGTTATTGAGCACGCTTTTGGTGTTTTGAAAGCTCGATTCCTTATATTGAAGAGGATGGCACCATTCCCATTGGTTACACAAAGGAACATTATCATTGCATGTTCTGCGCTACATAATTTTATAAGGAAAGAGGACTTGAGTGATGACTTCTTTACAAAATATGATTAACAAAATGTGTCGTTAGGAAATAGCCGTGGGCACGTTGATGTTGATGAAGAAGATGTCGAAGTACATGGTACTGCATCAGATCGTGAATATATGATCCAGTTACGAGATGAAATTACCGAGCACTTAATGCAAAGTGTGGAATAAATTATTTGGAAAATTGTTATTATTGTTATTTTAAAAAATGTTATTATTGTTATTTCAGTGTTGTAGAACTCTTATTTAAATTTAAATGTTTAAAAAATATTGATTGCTTTAAAAATCTGTTTATTTTAAATTTTAGTTTATTTAATCAATCTGCATAACTTAAAAAACAATCTTCCTCTTGCAGACTGTAGACCTTTGGTCCACCTCTTCTCCTACAAATGTATGCAGTCCAGTCCTTTTTCTGCAGAAAAAACAAACAGCACCTTCATGTCCCTCCTGCCCTGATATATATTCTAATGAATAAAACTTGCCAAAGGTCACCTTGACCTTGCCCCAAAGAACCTCTACTGTGAGCAATCCTTCAAGTTAACAATGAGCACAAATCACTTCAATGCTAATCTCGACCCCTACATGTAGCGTGTGTATTACCAACTAAAAAGCCTCATCATCAGAGCACACATGAACAGTTAAACATGAACAGTTAACAAATAACAGCTTAGAAAAGAACTACGGTGCTTGTAAACATTTATAATCAGCGTGCCCATGATCTAGAAAAAAACTAAAATGCAGCGAGCTTCCCTCTTCACCTGAGTGGTAGGAAGACCACCCCCAAGGATTCTAGATAGGACGTTCAACTAGGTTTGAATCATAACGAGGGGGCGTTGAATCTATGTGCTACTACGTTGTAATAGTTAATAGTACCCAAAATGCCTGCAAAAAAATCATCCTAATACACATGAATGGTTAAAAGCAATTTAGAAAAGAATGTTTACATGTAACCTTTACACCACACAAAACCCTTATCTCATTTCCTGTCTTTTGTCTTTCCTTCTTGCTCCCTCTAGTTGCTTCTCAAAAGTCCGTGCAAATGAAAAATAGTAAGGGAACCAGATATCTGCACTGCCTCCAAAAGGTCTTCGGTGATCTAAGACCCTATGAACCTTTCAATTTTAGGACACCCTTAAAACAGCTATTCGTCATTACAGAGAAAATACAAGCAAGTTAAAGTTGCAAGCTAAGATTCTCTTGACATCTGATTTTCCAGGATGACCTTTCCGAGAAGGACACGGATGCATTCCTTAATAATAATTCTAGTCCTTGAGATCATCCGACATTGCAGAAGGTATACAGTGTGTTTTAAGGATGTCCAAAGTTGCAGCCTTTGCTGTCTTTGTGTGGAGAACCACTAACTGCAGAATTTACAAAACAAATATAGGGGGTTTCCACAAAATACAAACTGAGGGATGATAGTATCAAAACGAACAGGTAGGGGAGCAGGAAGTGTGTGCCTACCTGTTGGTGTTCCAAATCAATCTTCAAATATTCATCTTTACAGAGCTCCACCATGTTGGCTAAGCCTTTCAAGTTCTTCACAGGCTGGCCATTTAAAGCAAGCACCTGGTTACAACAAAGATTATCAGATGGAAAGAAGAGTGTACAAATGAAGATGGAATGTGGCCTACAATTACTTGCAAAGTCAAAGTCAAATCAGACTTCGTGAGCTATGAGATCATGCACATTGTGCAGTTGCACTGAGACACTAACCTGAGTGTTGACAATCTCCTCATATCCTATGTTGATGTCAGCCACAAGAACCTTCCATTACATATAAAAGCCAGATATATGCTTATAACACACTAATAGGACAAGATCAAGGAGACAAGGACAATAACGGCCTTAACGGGTAAAGATAGAAGTAGAGAACAAAGAGTAAACCTGAGAAACTACAACTATTTGTTCATCCGGTGACTGTGGAAATTCATGCAAAAGCTTATCCAAAAGCTTGATAGGAGCTTCATACTCGTAATCCTTTCCATACTGGAGATGCACATAGTATGAGCTAAAAGTTGTACATGGGGAAGGGGGTGTGATTTTTAATATGCATATACAAGATCCTTTGGCGGGCACATCATCTCTATATTAAAGTGATGGCCCAATGCATTAAAAGCTTATAATTATTTAGCATTCATGCAACTCCAGAAGGTAAACCAACAAGCCAGGATGCCCCAAATTATAGATTCAGAGAAACGGAACACTTGCATATCAGAGAAAAACAACCTAAAATAGTATGGAAAGATGCTTGATGAAGATGACCACCTCACTCATATTTAAAGGGTTCTACTTGTAATAAGGAGAAATTAAATGTGAGGCCTGATGAATTTCTCTTCTGCTATGTGGGACAGGACGGAGTCAAGGTGTATGAGGAAAAGGTCAAAGTCGTATGTGAGTGGCTGTAAGCTTGGAACATCACCCAAGTGGTGTTTTTCAAACATGTAGGTTTTCATCTTATATTCACAAAGGAATTTAGTACCACTCTTGGCCCCATAATGAACTTAGGCATGCTTCATGACAGTTGGTTAGGTATGGTAATGTTTAACTGTTTTACAACAAAAATTGGTTGGCAGTGATTAGAAGATTGAATCCAGTTGATTGGTAGGGGTCACTCATATTAGAAGATTGAATCCAGTTGATTATCTAGTTTAACTCAACTCAAGAGCTTATAAACTCATTATTTTTCTTTTCAAAGTTGAGATTCTAACACTCCTCTCAAGTGGACAGCGGGACCATTTGGAATATAACTATTGATGACTTGCAATTGCACTTCCGTCCCCTTCAAACAATTATTTGAGAATGCAGCAACAACACCTAAAGGACCACTAAGTATGGACTTTCTATGCAAACAATCGAGTTAAATGGGCCACAGGTTGTTGGGTGTAAATTCCATATAGACAACTAGGCTACAGAACCAAAGGCCGCTGGGATTGGACTTCCAAATGGACAACTATACATGCGAGGTAGTCAAATCTCGCTTTGTAACCATGATAGAATTTAGGGTAAGGTAGGGTGACTATACTAGACCATAAGACAATTGACTCAAACACATTAAAAGATTGAATTCTGTAAGAGTCTATCCCATATCGAAAGTTGAATAGAAAAGTAATTGAGATATAAGCTCTTGAGTTGATTAGTTGAAATAAGTAATCGATTGGATTCAATCTTTTAAAGTGGTTCAACCCAAGTGCCTTATTACCCAAATTCAGTAACCCATACCCCATCTTATTTCTATCATGGTATAAGAGCCTGTTTTAGCCCAAATTATTTGTCAAGGTGCCTGGCGTCTAGACGTTCATTCCTAGCGACCCGTTAGTCTTTAACCCTATTGTCCGTATGGAGTATGTACCCAATGGCATGTGGCCCGTTTAACATGATTGCTCGTCTGAAAGTCCATACCCAGCGGCTTGTGGTCCTATAGGTGTTGGCGCTCAAAAAAAATCAAGGGGATGAGAGTCCATTTGCAAGTGGTCAACCGGTTAAATTCAAAATGGCTCGGTTGTCCACTTGAGGGGGAGTGTTAGAGTCTATCCCATATCGGAAGTTGAATAGAAAAGTAATTGGGATATAAACTCTTGAGTTGAATTAAGTAATCGATTGGATTCAATCTTTTAATATGGTTCAACCAAGTGCCTTATTACCCAAATCCATACCCCACCTTATTTCTATCAAATTCAATCAATTATCTAGTTCAACTCATAAGCATATAAACTCATTATTATCTCTGCAAAGTTCTGATGTGGTCTAAAACACTAAGAATTTAATCACATGATATCTTGGAATAAAAAAACAGACCACTGCGGTGGAATGCTGAAATATTTCTATTCCAAGATATCATGTGGTCTGTTTCAGCATTCCACTACAATAATCTGTTTTTTTTATTCCAAGATATGATACGCACCTCTGATCGAAGGTAAGGAACTGACACTGATGTAAAAACAAATCCAGCTATTATGTAATATGAGGGTGGTCTGCCCTTGTTGTGAGCTGGAATCAACCTTACGTGACTTTCAAGTTTGATATTGAATGTGTAGGTCTCGTGATTGCGAAGAATTTTAATTTCTGCAGTGTTTCCTGCATACTTCTGGTATACAAGATAACTAAAGCATATCCGCTCCCCATACCGAAATGGAACTGAAAATAAGCACATTAATGTTAGTCAGCAAGCTCAGCACAATGTTTAACAAGTATCTGCAGTAACATGAGACATTAACAAAGCTGTACACATATGCAGAATTGGGTGTTTAGGTACTACATTTAATCAGTGTAGCAAATGTTCATATCCCTCTCCCATTTTAATAAATTTACCACCTCTTCCCACCAAACCTAAATGAATAAAGCTAAAGCAACAACTTATTAATGTATAGACCACTGCATGCTAAATTGATTACGAAAGACGGTGAAAAGAACAGAGATGTTGAATACAAATGCCAGCTTGAGAACAAAATACCAGAGATGTTCAAGTAGTAAGATGCATCAAAGTGGAGCCCATCCACTATTGGAAACCAAAGCCACCTGTCCTATATCAAAAGAATGCCCCAACAGGTAACTTACAAAAGCTACAATCTTAATCCAATGACATTTCACTCAGCAGTCAATTATCTCTATAAGGGATTAAGGGGAAAGCTTAGTGGGAAAAAAGGGGATAACGTGGTTGTCATAATGAAATCTATGCTGAAGTGGAGAGCTTGACTCGCATCTACTTCCCAGAGAAGAAAATGTCTGTTCCCCATTAGAGGAAATAAGTAATGATGACATCATCTACAATGACATGTCAGAAGCTTTGAACGAACAATTTTGCCTTGCTAATGGTGACTTAGTTGAACCTATTCCTCTATATGATAGATTGCAAACCCTAGCCAATCTTGATGATATAAACCCTAATGCTTATAAAGGGCAGTGTAGATGATAGCATGTGCGTGGATAATGTAGTAAATGGGCCTTCTAATATACTCCAGGCTCTGGGCTTTACAGAAGATAATAAGGAAGAGGAAGATGATGATGCAGAAGATTTCACTCTATGTCACTCAGATGGTGTGAAAGGAGGACCCTTCCTTAACTACTCAGCCCTTAACCCTCTCCAAATTGACTATTCCTTCTGCAAGGTTAGGGTTCCGAATAGCCGCTGCCAAGGTTAGTTCGTTATTGGTTTTTTCAATCTCAGATCAGTTTTTCAGCCGTGTATGGAAACAATGGCAGATGAAAAGATAAAGATTGAAAAGTTTGATGGAAGTGATTTTGGGTTTTGGAAGATGCAAATCGAGGATGTTCTTTATCCGAAAGACTTGTACCAAACGTTATCGGGAGAAAATCCAGAAAAGATGAGTGATGCAGATTGGACGATTTTGGACAAGAAAGCTTTGGAGTGGTTAGGTTGTCATTGGTGAAGAGGGTTGCTTTCAACACAGTCAATGAAACAACTATGCATGGGTTAATGAAAGCTTTGTCGAATATGTACGAGAAACCCTTAGCATTGAAGAAGGTGTTTTTGATCAGACAGTTGGTTAACACTAGAATGAGGGAGGGTGCTTCAGTTACCATTCACATCAACCAGTTTAATTTGGTCATAACTCGGTTAGGATCACTTGGAATTAAGTTTGATGATGAACTTCAGGCGTTGCTGCTTTTATCTTCTTTGCCTGACAGTTGGTCTGGAACAGTGACTGCAGTTAATAGTGCATCTGGTACTACTAAGTTTACTTTTGAAGGAATTCGGGACTTGATTCTAGGTGAAGACATCAGACGCAGTAGTTTAGGGGATTCTTCGAGTGCACTGTTGAGTACTGAAGGTAGAGGAAGAAGGAATGAAAGAGGAAGCAACCGTGGTAGAGGCAAGAGTCAGTCCAAGCATCGGGAAGGAATTGTCTGTTCGGATTGCAAACAGACAAGACATTTTAGAAGTCAGTGTCCGAATGGTAAAAAGGAAGTGAATACTACAGAAAGCTGCTCAGACAATAGTGATGATGTGTTAATCTGTAGCGTAGAGAGTAGTATAGATTCCTGGGTGATGGATTCTGGTACATCTGTTCATGCCACACACAACATGAAGATGATGAAGAATCTGAAGATTGGGGACTTTGGTAAGGTACGACTTGGTAACGATGAAATTCTGGATGTTACGGGCATGGGGGATATTGACTTGAAAACTTCAGTTGGAGTCACTTGGACTTTGAAAAACGTCAGAGTCATTCCAAGCTTGAAGAGGATGCTTATCTCAGTTGGGCAGTTGGATGATTCGGGTCTTGATGTTAAATTTGGTGGTGGACAGTGGAAGGTGGTCAAAGGAAATCTTGGTGTTGCTCGTGGCAAGAAAAGGGGTTCGTTATATATGGTCGAGATACCTTCAGAAGGAGCAAGTCCAGTTTTTGTAAAAGAAAAGGTCCGGTTCAAAGAATCTTGTGTGCTAAAGAGGGTCACCTTTGCAAAGGAGAAACTCAGAGAAAGAGTACAGATTCAGGAAGAACTAGCTCGGAAGGTTCAACGAGTCAGGGAATTTGGTGACAGTGGGAGCACAGGTCGTGCTTCAGTCCCAATCCGACAGTGGGTTAGGAAAACTAGTATTCCGGCGTTGAAAGTTTCTCCTGTTAACTATTTGCTTGGTTTGGAGAATGTAGGTTCTCAGTGTGTCACACTCGGAGCTAGCAGAGAAAGAGAACGAGTCACGGTTGTGACAAATGAGTTGAAGCTCAGTGGAAGCTTCAGCGGGCCTTCAGATAACTGAAGAGAAGGCTGCTGCAACTAGAGGAAAATGAGGATTACAAGAGGTACAGATGATGAAGACTAAGGGGCGTTGTTCGAGCCTCCAAGTGGGGGATTGTTGGGCGAATGGAGTGTGGAGGCTCGACCAAGAAGGGCAGCCGGCCCTAGTCTTGGTTCGACCCATATGGCAGTAAATTAGGTTTTTAATTTAGCCGGCCCTAATTCTCTGTGGGCTTGGGCCTAACTTGGGGATTAAGTTTTCAACCCTAGTTTAGTCTTCATAAATAGCGATCTCTGTGCTTGTAATTCGGTGAGCACCTGAATAATAAAAACCCTAGTTGCAAAGTGGATTAGGTCAGCCAACCGAACCACTATAAATCTTGTGTTCCGTTTTTCTCCGTTTTGATTTCTGTTTTGTGTGTGTTCTTGTTTGGTTGTGGTTTGCTATTCAGTATTCTTAGATACCCCAACATTTTGACAATGGATTTCGGCATCGTAATATGAAATCAAGGCCATTTGGGGGCCCTAGGGTGATCTTTTGGGCTCGGAGCCGAGTCCTATTCTGCAACTCCCCCTCCCCGAAAAACACTCCTACCCATCCCAATCCCCCTACACTCACACCTCCCCTATTGATGTTGAACAGGCTTCCCTATTCCGGTACGCGTGAACCAGCCTCTTCAACCACCTATCCACCAGGCGCCACGGAGCACCGTAAGGCCCTCAAATGGACTCGTTATCCTAGTGTCAAAAGAACCGAGCCCTATGTTAATTTATAATGTGTTAACTTCAAATAAAGTTAGCGATTTTAAAACTCTTTATTAGTGAAGAAAATTCTTAATCGAATATGAGACCCGTCAGAATGAATTATAAGATGATTTGATAGGCATTTCTTACAATCTTGGTTAGTTTTATAGAAATCTTTAAGAGAAGTTGCAAGGCAACATAGAACATGTTATCGCGTGTTAAAAAGTTCAGTGTTGCCTCATATGCTACAAAAAAGATGTCTCATTCACAAAATGTAACAAACAATAAATCCAAAACAAAAACAGCACAAGTACCTGTTCCATCATTTGCTATATCAACCCCATCAAAGCTTAAAATAATATCAGATGGCTGCAAAACCGTAGACTCCGGAGAAATTGGATCAATTCTTCTTATCCGAACACCTTTCTGGTTTGGTTTCATCCCCACTGACAGTCGCAAATCTGGATTTTCCATCTTTTGCCACTCAATTCCAAGAGTAGGAAACCCTGTTCCAGGGTATTAGTAATGGCAATATAATCAGAAAAATACATAATATGTGACAGATATAATAGGGAAAAAGTTAGAAAAAAACATATCGAGAGACAGCTAAGGGTGCTTAATTCCAAATGATAACATCAAAAACAAGTATGATCTCAAACTGAATAAAGCATTAATATGATACTATGATGTCTTTATAGCTGGCTAATACTTCTCGTTAGTCATTACAGGTCTGTGATGAACATAAGAACTCTGAACTAATGCATTGTGGATAATGCATGCAGGGAGAACCAAAAGAGAGCCAGGGAAGAAAGAATCCTTTTAAATTCTTTATGCCATAAGAATCATAATAGATGATAATTTCTTTCTAATATAGAGGCATACATTCCTAAACTGAATGAAACTCAATTATTAAGTTTGGTAACATTTTGCCGGGAAGGCTTCAAACTTCTAACCAGCCACTCACCAATCTCTGGGACTAAGATTGGTGGTAGTCCAACATATGCTTTGAGCAAGGAAACATAAACACATAATGTAGCTACTTTGCATGCACGCGGAGCTTTCTTATGCGCCTAGAAGACATAAAGGGCCGAAAAAAGAAGTAAAAGATTGTGTGATTTTAGCATGCCACCATGAAAAAGTTAAAGGCAGACCAATTATCTGGGCTCAAATGCCACCTCATGGTGTGTGACATTGTTAGCCTGGGCCACATGCAACCTGTACATGGAGCCTTGCATTGCACAAAACTATGTCCTGCATTGCCAAGGCCTCATCCACCACGGCCAACTTGGATAAGTTGGGTTCATAGGAGAGAAGGCCTGGAGGATTCCATCCATAAAGCATCCAAAAAGGCATCATGTGTAGGGTCACCTAGAAATATTTTTTATAGAGTTTTTATTCATGTCAAGGCTGTTAAACTCGAGATCCTAGCTAGTATCACAAGAAGTTTGGAGGACCGTAAATCGGGGATCGAAACTCGAATCGTAAGATCCTAGAGTAGTAAGTCGTACTTAAATGTACCCCTCATGTTCCAAAATGAAGCTTACACTTTTCTTTTTTAAATTGTCCGAAAAAAAATATACACCCTTAATTTCTAATTAAGGAATGAAATATGTGCTTACAATGTTTTTACACAAACTTCAACCACACTTTTTTAATTCTCAACATTTATTTAAACTTTGTGAAGTCCTAAATTGTAAATTTCATTTTGGGGCAGATTAATTAATGTTACCATGTGCATGCACAAAATACTCATATATAAGTATTTTAGAAAAAAAAGGCTATAATAAGGACATTGACATGGGAGTCGGGCATCCACATAAAAACAAGGTTTATGATGAAAGGAAGCAGAACGTTGAAGATTGAAAACCTAAAGTTTTTGTTGCAACTAATTTTGACGACAAAATTAAAGTTACCGTAAGACCCGACCCGTTATATGCTTAATACATCAATTGATGACCCAGTTTGTTATCTTTTCCATAAGGTTGAATCGGCATCAGGTAACAATCTTACAATTAATCCATCAAACTAGACGATCCAGACCGATTCTAGCAATTTCTAATCTAAGAAGCGAAGGGGTCGGGCTCGGATGCACTCATTGTAAAATCATGGGATTTTGCGATGTAGATTGCAATTTTAGCAATCATGCTTATATCCATTCATAAGATAACGGTTTGTTTAAGTAACAAAAGAAATCCCCTAACTAGTCACGGACTACATGAATAGAGGATCTAAAGTTCCCTCAAGCCATGAACAACAACAACCCAATTGGATCCCATGAGAGTAGGGTCTAAGGAGGGTGTGTACGCAGACATTACCCCTGCTCGAAAGTAGAGAGGTTGTTTCCAAGACACCCCCGGCTTAGGTAACACAAGAACACACAACAAACATTAAGCGGGGAACAAACTAAATATAGAGGAAATGCACAACAAGCAAAAAAGAACCAAGCATATAAAGCACACACACACAAGTGCAAAACTACAATCAAGCCCTAAATGCCTACCCAACTACTCTAATTCTAGCACTCCAAACGTTCCTATCTAAGGTCATACTCTTCATAAGAGCTAGAAGTCTTAGGTCCTGCATAATTACCTCCTTCCAATTTTTCCTAAGTCTAACCCTTCCCCTACTCCCTCCCTCCATCGTAAGCCTCTCAAATCTCTGCACTGGCTTCATCACTTCGCCGCCTCAGTCCTCAAAAGTCCAAACCACCTCAACCTAGCTTCCCGTAGCTTAACCTCTATCGGTGCCACTCCTACCAATCCACGGATAACCTTATTCTGAATCCTATCTAACCTCGTCTTTACACTCATCCACTGCAACATCCGCATCTCCACAACATGAAATTGATGAACATGAATTTTCTTAGTTGTACTACACCCTGCACCATACAAAATAGTTGGCCTGACTACGGAACCATAAAACTTACATTTCATTCTAGACAAAATTTTCATATCGCATAGAACCCTAGAAGCCAACCTCCACTGCACCCAAGCCACTCCAATAGGGTGCACAACATCCCCATCTAACTCCCCACCTGCCAGAATGACCGAACCAAGATGTCGAAACTAGTCTACCTTAGGCACTAGGTAGGATTAAATCCTAATTTCCACCTTTGATTACATCACTGGCAACTAAAACAACATTCCATGTTTTCAATCTTCATACTACTTAGTCATGAAAAAATGCCATAGCTCTAACTTGTCAATTAGCCCCTCCGGCACAATATTGTTAGTAAAACGCATGCACTAAGGGACCTCCCCTTGAACTCCATGCGACAATACATCCATCACCCCATCCATCACCTGGGCAAACACGAAGGAGCTAAGTTAGAGTAATGGAAATTCCAGAGGTGTGCCTCCAAGCAAATTTTTGAAAAAAACACCCTGGTACCATCATGATTTATGCAATGTTAGTTTTTTATATAAGGCGTAGCTTTGGAGCATAAAAGTGAATGCCTCAGTGTGTAAGCACTAAAGTGCGTGGAATCCTACACAATTCCTTCCCCCAAAAAAATTAGATTGGGATTAAATTAGTAATTTAATTACATAAAAAAACTTAATTACATCCAAACGTGAACAACTCCTCAAACGATTCATCTATTCGGACTTCAAATGAGGAACCATGCTCGAATTTTTTTCTTTAGTTTCATTTGTTTATATTTTTGTCGACTGCTAGGCAAGTTCTGCAAAATTATTTCTCCATTTTTAAATTCTTTTCTACATTGATTGCTTATAGCATCTTTGTATGTTTTTTCTTTTGAATTGTACCAAGTTTTTCTTCTTGAGTGCGTATTATGTGAACTTTTATTTTCAAAGTTTATGTGTATTTTTGTTGTTACTGATTGAATTTGTGCATACATAAGTTTTAAGATTTTTTTTAGTATAACAAAGTTCAAAACATGGCGGATCCAGCATGGAAATATGTGGTAAACTCAACGCCCGCAATTGATGGACAGAAAAAGAATTACAAATATGTGGTGTGTAACTTTTGCGACAAAGAGTCCAAAGGGGGACTAAGGCCCCGTTCCGTTCAACTTATTTTTTCTTATTTTTTCTTATTCTTATTAAAATCAGATCAGATCAGATCAGATCAGATCGAATCAGATCGAATCAGATCAGATCAGATCAGATCAAATCAGATCAGATCCAATCAGATCAGATCAGATCCAATCAGATCAGATCAGATCCTATCAGATCAGATTAGATCAGATCCAATCAGATCAGATCAGATCAGGACTTATTAAAATAAGATCTCATCAAGAATTATTATTATTATTATTATATTATTATTATTATTATTATTATTATTATTATTATATTATTATTATTATTATTATTATTATTATTATTATTATTATTATTATGATCATCACCATCATCATCGTCATCATCGTCATCATCATTATTATTATTATTATTATTATTATTGTTCTTAAAAATGAAAAAGAATAAACTTTAGAAATAGGTTAAATAAAAAGCTGAGAAAGTAATCCTTAATTATTAGACGTCGGAAAAATTAGTTTTAAAATACATTGACAATGTCAATCTAATTCTACTTTTAAAATATATTTTTATTGCTACTTGTAATTTGAGTTTCTAAACTTTTGATCTTTTATNAAAAATACTATCTCTTCTATATATTGATTATCTAAATTTAATTACTTTTAAATGTATATCTAAATTAAATATTTATTCTAATGTATAATTCTAATTTTACAAAAAAATAATCATAAAATAAAAAATATTATTACAGTATAATATGAATGATTATTCTAATATATGAATTAACTATTTTTATTTTATTAAAAAATAATCATTAAATAAAAAATATTGATTATATTATAATATGAATTATCATTACAATTTCCAAACGTTATTATAAAGTCAAATTAAATTATTGATTTGAAATTTTAAATTAAATCATAATTAATCAGATCAGACCAGACCAGATCAGATCAGATCCAATCAGATCAGATCAGATCCAATCAGATCAGATCCAATCAGATCAGATCAGATCAGATCAGACCAGATCAGATCAGAACTTATTAGAATCAGATCAGATCAGAAAAAATAAGTTGAACGGAACAGAGCCTATGTAGATTTAAGCATCATCTTGCTGGGAGAAGGCAAAATGCGACACCTTGCACAAAAGTTCTTGACAATGTTAAACAAGAGATGTCTCTTTTCAACTTGGCCCGCCAAACGAAGAAAGTGAACAAGAGAAACGAGTAGGAACTTAGTTATAACGGTGCCTACTCTCAAAATGTGAATATGTTTGCTTCAACAAGCATTGGGAACAACTCTAAAAGAGAAGTACGTGGCCCAAAAGATAGGAGTGTATTGGATATCGATCTTGATAGTTCAGATGTCGTTCCAGAAAAGCCAACTACTGAAAGGGAAGCTAGAGACAAAGTTTTCCTAGATGTATGGAGATGTTTTTATTCATAACGATAATCCATTCAATGTTGAAGCTTCACCATCATTCTTAAGTATGTATCGTGCAACTAGTAATTCAAGGGATTTAAGCCACCTACCTCGTATGAGTAGTTAAGCCATTGGATGTAAGACGATGAAGACAGAAAGTAATTAATGAGGTGAAGAGGACTTGGACACAAACCGGAGGATATACTTTCTGATGGGTGGAAGATATGCAGGGAAGGCAGTTAATAAATTTTCTTGTAAACAATCCATATAGTACTGTTTTTTTAATTAAGTTGATGCATCCCGCCACGTCAAAGATGCAAATATGTTGTGTGCTCTCTTTGATGAAGTTGTAGAAGAAGTCAGTGAAGACATCGTGACACAAGTAGTTACTAATAATGCTGCGAACAGTAAGGCTGCCGGTAAGACAACAACAACAACAACAACCCAGTTAAATCCCACAAGAGTAGGGTCTGGGGAGGGTGTGTGTACGCAGACCTTACCCCTACTCGAAAGTAGAGAGGCTGTTTCCCAAGAGACCCCCGGCTCAACGTCGAAAGTTGCATTGCTTGACTAACTGCTACTTCATTAATTAGAGAAGCACAGATAGTTTAGAGATCCATTTTGATTTATTCCATCACACCCCAAAAAGGACTTTGGTTTACACTATATGCAACCCATTGTATTGATTTCATACATGAGGAAATTGGAAAGCTTCCTCAGCACAAGACAGCATTAATAAAAGCAAAAAAGGACCGATCAGCCAATCCAGTAGGTAAACCCTATTTCTTCATGACAAAGTAAAAAATTAAGCATGCAAGTGACGGTGGCTTCAACACGGTCACTCATAACGTACAAATAAGGCACCAAAAGCTCAAAAGCAAAGGACAATCAGGAGGAGGTGCTATGATCCAGAGCTTGAGGTGAGCACAGTGAGTTTCAATCCAAAGTACTGGCCATCAAAGAAAGAAACGACAATAGAACAGATAATCACTATCGCGAACTACACGATGCCATTTTACTACGTTGGACAAGTAGGCCCTATTGGGGCAGGCGTTAAATGGCCAACAAAAGTGATGCCCGAAATACGCTGCAATTAAGTTGATGATGTCCATTTGGGCTTCATAATTTGGTAATAGTCTCGGCACTTGTATTTTCTTTTCACTTGTTTTTTTATTTTTATTTTCTGGAGGGGTTTCAGTCTGGTCCTCCCCTCTCTTGTTTGTACTTTTCATGCTTAACAAATAAATCTATTTAAAAATACTTAAAGATTAAAATATTCTTGTCAATCATTCTGAAATGGAGCAAAACTCACCAGTATATCTTCCATTTCTTTCATAGTCTTTGATAAAGTGACTGACAACTGGTGTTGGTATAACATAACCAATATTTTCTGCATCTCCGTGTTTTAGGGATTGAAATGCAATGCCTACACAATTTCCATGGTCATCAAAAGCAGGGCCCCCAGAATTTCCAGAATTTATAGCAGCATCTATCTACAAAAGTGTGATCCAAACAGTCAGAGTTGTGATTAGTTTGTATTCACTGTGCATTAATTGTATCCAATGAGCTACACATGATGTAGATTGAAATATTGAATACCTGCAGTCCCATAAGTTTGGTTGATCCGTGAACGTATGGCAATATCTCTATACGTGAAACAACCCCACGCGTTACGGAAATGGTGTCTCCACCAATTGGATAACCTACTACAGTCACAGCATCTTGAAGTGTAGGCAAAATGCCAAATTCGACAGGAGATACCCCACTCCAAAACTCATCATCGTTGACCGTAAGCAAAGCTGCGGGATCAAATATAAGAGCAATCATCATAATACAGCACTGATCAAAAGTAGGTTGAGAATAAAAATCATGTATACTTTTGTATTGAAACAACACTAGTACACTATTATAATAAATAATCTGCAACTATTATGCACATCGTGCTGTAATTACATTGCTAAATATTCAGAGTGACTAGACTGAAATAATCATCATCACAATGAGGGGAAAAATCAATAAAATTCTCACCGATATCGCATTCAGTTCCAATGGCAAGCACCTTGGCAAGATACTTGGTATCCGATCCTCTCTTTTTCAATTTGATCTGAGTATGATGCTCCACAGAGTGAGCATTAGTTAAAACCCTCCTCCCTTTAATGACAAACCCACTGCTACTCGAACTAAACTGCCGTTTCCGCTGCCATGGCAGAGAAAAATTAGGTTCGGTATGGGTGCAAAACACCTTCACTACGGCGTCCATCGATGGTAGAACCCGAGCTACAGCCTCATTTGAGACATCGGCATCGCATGCAGTCAGAGAAGCTGATCCATTAGCCTTCTCAACAACCCCTCTCGGCGGGGATGTGAATTTTAGGGTTCCGGGTTTTTCAAGTTCGTACTGCTTCTCGGGATGTCTGTGAACTTCAAGTGACCGCCCGCAGCGGCGATGGTGGGAAAGAGAGGAAAGGTTGGTGGTAGGGTTGATTAGCTCGACGTTGCTGACGGAAAAGACGATATCGTCGATAGTTGGCGACGCTGATGCGCCGGAACTGGCTGCAGTGGAGCTGGGGGTCGCCGCGTCATCAGGGGATCCGAATTTCGGCTTCCGGCGTCGTTTTCGCTTGTTGTCACCTGCCATGAACTGTGCCTTGCAATGGGAGCACTTCAAGAATTAAGGTGCCCTTTTCTTTCATTTCTTTTCTACTTGTTATTTATTTTTATCATATTTAAATAAGTTCAAAGAGAAATTTACCTAAATAGGACTAAAACATAATGACTTTCCTAATATAGGACCATATGTTTTTATTTGTCAATGTATGACCTTTGGTCATTATGAATTAGTCATTATTCAACTAAATGTCCAGCATCACTTGGATATTATTCTTCTCACTAGTCATTATTTAGTCCTATTTAGGGAATAAAAAAGTTTAAGTCCTACATTGGAAAATGACTTATGTTTTAGTCCTATTTAGTACAAATTTCACAAGTTCAAATTAGTTTAGACTGATTCGAATCACATCATATCCATTATAATGAGAAAATTACTTAAAAAATAAACAATTTTAAAATAATTAAATAATAAATATAATAATAATTATTATCATTTTTAATTAATGATAATAATTTTAATAATTATTAATAGTAATTAATAATAGAAATAATTAAATCCAAAGCAATAATAACGAAAATAATTAATTTTAATGAATAATAATTAGTAATAATGATAATAACAATTCATAATAATATTTATTTGTGATAATAATTAGTAATAATGATAATAGTTGATAATTTGTATCATTAATCATAACATTTAATAATAATAATAATAATAATAATAATTACTATTTGTAACAATAATAATAAATATAACAATTAAAAAAATACGGAGTAATAATTAATAATTACAAAAATAATTACTAATAATAAAAATTTAAATTTAAATATTATTAATAAAAATTACAAAAATGATTAATTTTATTAAGAAAATTATAATTTGAATATTATTAATAATATTTACTCAAATAATTATCATTATTGTTACTATTATAATAATACATTATAATTAATAATGGTAATCATCATCATTAATCACAACACTTAATAATAAAAAATGATAATAATAATAATAACAAATACTCCCTCCGTCCCAGAGTATTTGTCCACTTTCATATTTACACACCATCCAATGCACTTTTTAATCCATTTTATCTTGTAATTTGTATATTAAAAAATTATAGAAATTATATATTAATAATCTATATGTTAAGACAAATCAAACAAGATCACACATGACTATATTTAGGCTTACACATTGAGAGAATTTGATGAGTCAAAGTGCTTAGATAAACAGTTCTAAAAGTCAAAAGTGGACGAATATAGCGGGACGGAGGTAGTATAATTATTAGAATAATAATGATAGTAATAATAATTAATAATTAGCATTCTGATTATTAATAGTAAAAATTATTATTGTAATGATTATTTAAAATTATTAATAATAAATTATTATGATTATCATACATTATGATTAATAATGTTAATCATAATCAATAATCATAACACTAAATATTAGTAACAATAGTAATAATAATTACTTATAATAATATAAATAAATATAATTATTAAAATAATAATGATAATAATAATAAATAAAATAATAATTATTAATAATAAAAAATTTAATTGTATTACATTATTAATAATTATTAATAAAAATTATTAATTACAAATTATTATTATTAATATTATAATAATAATAGTAATAATAATTTGAATTTGAATTAATTCCATTTAAATCAGATTGGATTCATTTAGATCAAATCAAATCTATTCAGATCAGATTAGCCTTAAAAATTCAATTAAATCAGATTAGATCAACCAAAGAGAACGCAACCTAAGTAAGGAAGCATTTAGAGCATTTCACGTTTATATTTAAATATAAAGCGAGGGGTGAAACAATGTCTAATAAGAGTATAAGACTGCACAAAACTCTCCAAAAACATGTCTTCTTTCATCGTGCGAACTCCGTGGCTTTAATCTTTCTACACTCTTCCACTTCTTCGACTCTTGTACAAGGTGATCGTAACTCAAACCACTCGAAATCGTCATTCTCAAAAACCTTTGAATCCATATAATGAGGATGGAGAATGCATATGTGATGTACTCAAACAACGAAAGCAATGGGTTTCATGCACAAAAAATGACTACACCATATTGGAATCCAAAATGCCACTAAAGGCACTGTCCGAATCAGAAATTTGATACGAGTAATAAAGAATGTAAATTCATTCTTAAAATATAGGAAATATTATCTCAAATAATTCCATCTTTTGGCGCTTTTCCAAAATAATCCCTTTCTTCATCGTCATGGAAAATATTCCAGCTTTTCTCATGTGTGCGAGTTTTGAATCACCGTTAGGATGCTAATGGTTACTTAACGAAATTTTTAGAAAATGTTTGTTTTTCGCAAATAAATGAAAGGTGAAATTATTTTAGGTATATTCTCTTTTATATTTTCTTAATTTCAAACTTGAAATTTAAATGTATTTTTAAAAAAATTAAAAATAATACCAAATTTAAGTGTTTTTAGAGTGACACTAATTATTTTTTTCAAAAGTTGTGAAATTTCACAATAAATATTCTACACATTGAAACTAATTATTTTTTTTCCAATATAATTTTTTCCAATAAATATTCTACACTAATTATTTTTTTCCAAAATAATATTTCAAAAGTTGTGAAATTTCACAATAAATATTCTAGACATTGAAACTAATTTATTTATTCCATAACTCACTACATTTTTATGTAATTTTCAATTTTTTTCTGAAGCGGAACTTCGAATTGTTTTTTGATACTATACATACTATTGAATTTTTAAAAATGGCATTGTAAGACTTGTGAATATCTTTTCGATAATTCTGTATAAATATTTTTTGCAAAACAAAATTACGATAGTTGTGAAAATAACACAACAATGTTTTTTGTGAAGTGGAATTTTTATTTTTATATTTCACTACATGTTTTGTTGTATTACAAGTTTTTCATGAACAACACTCTTAGATGCTTTTCGAAAATCATCTATTACCCGTATTATTTTTCTAAAATAGCACTACAAAACTTGTGATTTTTTCATAATTCAGAACAAAGTTTTTCCCCAAAATAACAACTTAAAAGTTGTGAAAATGAAACTATTTTTTCTACAACTTTTATTACAACTTTTTTGGATTACAATTTCTCTCTCACTACATGGCAATAATTATTTTTATAACTCACTACAACTTTTTTGTATTACAATTTCTTTCTAGAGTGACACTCTGAATTATTTTTCGATAATCCAATATTATGTTTCCCCAGAACAGAATATAAAATTTGCAAATCATTATATTTAAAAAAAGTTGAGACAAATCTCAAACAAGAGTGTACTGTTAAATATAAATTTTAAATTTAAATTAAAAAAAATAAAAAAGTAAATTTACCTAAAATAATGTCATCTTTCATTTATTTGTGAAAAAAGGCTTTTTTCAAAAATTTCGTTAAGTAACCATAAATTTCTTAATTGTGATCCAAAAGTCGCACACACGCAAAAAGATAAGATTTTTCAGTGACAGTGAAAAGTAGTATTATTTTGTGAAAAAACATGAAAAGTTGGGATTATTTAAAATAATTTTCCTAAAATATAACTGATCTAGGGTCATGAACGATGGGTCGGGTTGATTTACATACGAGATCGACCTAGCTGATCCATCGACCCTGGTAGCAATGCTTGAATTGAGAGGTCACATTTACTTCGTATGAAATTTTTTCTCATTTTATGCGCTTATATAAGTTCCTGCGATCAAGACGACCGTCAACATTTTGAAATTCCCAAATATGAATATGAGTGTGAAGTCTTCACTGCCAAACTTCAGAAATATGATGGCAGTTAATGGTTAGGGAGGTTGATATGGGAGGAGGTGTTAAAATGTGGTTTATAGTAGGAGAACTTCTTATTAGATACTCTTTAAAAGAATTTTCTTTGATTACTATAATGAAGTGATCAAAACTAGGGTCTAGAAATCAAAAGTATGATGCAAATGCACTACGTGTCTTTGTTGAAGAGAACTTGCCAAAAGGTGTGATTTGTTACACTTTTATAGTGGACATGTTCTCAAAACTATGCGGGCTACTCAATGAGGAAGAACAGAAAGAGTATGGCAGCATGTGGATCATAAAGATGGAGACATTGATGTTTTGTTGTCCTTGTTTCGATGACTTTTTCATGGGGCCTTCTCTTTGTTCCCAATCACTGGGAAGGATTTATGGCGTGTTCTTAAGGGCTAGAAAAAAAATTGGATGTTGGAATAAACTGAAAAAGACCGGAAAAAACTGGAAAAAACTAGAATTTACTGGAAAAAACTAGAAAAACACTGGAATAAACTGAAAACATATCAAATTAGATCAACAATATCTTTAAATATCAGAACAATCAGATCAGACCAAATCAGATCAGAACTTATTTCAATCATATCAGAACCAATCATGCTATGTGAAGAGAACAAGCCTTTAGGCTCTGTTCTTTTCAATTGTAAAAATAGAGTTATATGTTAGTAGAAACTGAACGGAATTAGAAGATACTTGGAGGTATTAGAAAAAATTTGAAAGAGTTAAAGAAACTAAGAGTTAGTAAAAAGTAGAAGGGTTTGAAAGAAACTAAGAATTCATAGAAACAGGAAGAGTTGGAAAAACTAGAAAAACATGGAAAAACTAGAACGATTTGAAAATATAAAGTGTTGAAAAAATTATCTTAATTCATAAAATTCATATTTTACGCCAATATATTTTACCTCAAATGATATTAGTAATTTTTGCGTGACTCGCACTCTTATTTTCTTTACTTTTAAAAATTAATATAAGTAATATATTTTTTTGTTTCTTAATATGTATGTAACCATTTGACAAAAATAACAAAACAAATAATACAACATTTTTTATCAATCTTAGTTTAAAAAAATTAAGTACAAATAATATAATGATGTTTTGACCAAACAATGTTTCCTATTATTTTTTAGTTAAGAATGGTAAACTATTCTAAATTTTACTCACTCGATAACAAAATAATATAACGATGTTTTGACCAAGCAACCCAAAGCTTGCGGAGGCGTATCCGTATTTGGAGGTGTAGGGGAACGTACTCATGAGGGAAATGATCTTTATATGAAAATGAAAGAATCTGGAAATATTAATCAACAAAAACTGGCCGAATCAAAAGTAGCCCTAGTTTACAATCAGATGAATGAACCCCCAGCTCGTATGAGAGTTGGTTTGACTGCCCTAACTATGGCGGAATATTTCCGAGATGTGAATTGACAAGACATACTTCTCTCTATTGATAATATATTTCGTTTTGTCCAAGCGGGATCCGAAGTTTCGGCCTTATTGGGCAGTTTTCTATTATTTTTTTAGTACAGTGATTTTTATTAAATATTTTGTTTACAAATAGATATAAAAAGAAACGATAAAACTTACCGAGATGAGATATTGAAGAGATGATCTGAGAAGTGCTTAAAAAAATATCTGAGATATGAAGACCCATATCCGAATAGCTCACTAAACAACAGACCCTTAATGAAATGAGAGCATAAACTTCATTTTAGGGAGGACTATTACTGCACTACTGTAAAACATAGCTATGAATGTTAAATAATAGCCAGGTTGCTTGTGATTAAATACAGAAAAGCAATTCAAAGGAAACATATTACTGTAAAAATTACAATGAAGAGAATATATGTGAATTGAATTTACTTACCTATTTCATTGAAGTTTCACTACCTGCACAGACTTCAAACTCTCTCAACACAGACTGTACCAATCTTCATAGCTCTGCACCTACTTAATTCAAACGAAACGAAGACAACACATTTGGAGAAAAATGATTAAAAAAGAATCAATCAAAACAACTACGCCTCGCCATCAGAACTGGAAAGATCATCGTATCGTCTGTTGTCAGTGATTGCTGGAAAAAGTTTATGCCGATGATCGGGGGAAGATTGTTGGGGTCCGGGTGTCAATTGAGGCCTCTTTTGTGTGGCTCCAACTTCTCTGCATACCTTGTCAAGTACTACCAGAAAATCCCGAACTATGACAAATAACCGCAACCCTTCATCCTTGCCAGCATTTCCATGGAAGTAATCACCCGTGCTCTTAATTAGGGACATGATTCGCTTCTCTTCTTCAACCAACCATGCGATCTCAACTTCAGCATTCTGCACGAAATTCTTTATTGTGCGGAGAAACCCATCTTCCTCGTACAAGTTGTCCATCACCGAACTCAGGAAATCCTTCATGTTTGCCAAGCCATGGCTAAGCTTGGATACTGTTCCTATCAAGCTACCTGCGTCAAGAACTGCGGCATTCTTGACATGCTCAAGCTCGTTCCCCAGACCTGACACGGCTTGTAGACCAAGGATCTGATGGTGGGACTGTTTGGAATCCTTTGGTTCCTTGGCTGCATGGGCAGCTGACCGTAACCCTTCAGAGCGGATTATCTCCTGAACAACAAAGTGTAAAAGTGTGGTCTTCCCATCCGTACCTTTCACGTCTGATAGTTTTAGTAATGTGTCAAGTTTGAAAGCTTGGGCACCACCACGGTAGGTCCCATCATTCATGCGGTTTCCAGTTTTTAGAACTGCTTCTAGCAGTTTGAGAAATAGCCTGCTTTTCCGGAGCTCAGTGCAGGCAGCCTTAGTAAAGTTACAATTGAAAAAAAAAAGTAGAAATTATGTGAGTAACTAAATCCAATTGATAGCGCATTTTGTGCCAATGGAATCTTCTAGTTGTTCAGTAGGACAACAAAAATACTATGCATTTACCTCCAAGGTAGCAAAGGATTCTTTAACCATTGACACTTCCTCCTGTAGAGTGCACATAAAAAGCAATGATTCTAGCCTCTTGAAGGCAAATGGAATGTCAACTAATACTTTGAGAAACCGCTCGGCATTCCCAAGTTGAGAAAGCTCTCCATTAAAGACTCTCAGCTTCAGCTCTTCTTCAGATGTCGGTGCCATCTTCAGCAAAGTCTGAAGCAATTCTGCTGGAAGCTCATTTCCTAATTGAAGAAAAACAAGGTGTTAGCCATTGTGTATTTAAAGATGTAGATGTATGAACTCAGTGAGTTCTACTCAGATTTCAAATTCCAGAATCATCTCATTATTAAGTTGGTAGCTGACAATCAAACACCGAATGACTAATATTAAATGAGAGCAAGGCATGGAGTTAGTCATAGCACATTAGCCTTTCCCTTTTCTGCATCGAAAGATTTCAATTTGATTATGATCATCTCCCTAGCCCCTCCCACACATTTTGAAAAAAAATCCTCGACATCACGTTTGATAATCAATAACAATATTTTGACTCAACATTATTTTTTTTATCCAGTACTCATTAGATACATTCAGTTTCTGGTTTATGTTTATAACTGGCAACTGGAAAGCTGTGAGGGCTAAAATCTCTAGGAAATCTAGAAGGGATATGGTTCGTGGACGTGAAAAAATTTGATAGACTTGACGAGTCGCGTGAATTACGCTTTCAGATTAATGATTATTTTGAGATATACCAATATATTACAATTGGATAAGCCGTAAGTATCTAAAACGAGTACGAAAGTTGTATGCATCCCAAACATACCCCAAACTCCATATATATATAGAACAAAATCTTAATGGATGTGTCTGTTGTGTGAAACAAGGTGACTTATCGAGTAACATTCAAAGATTACGCTAAAACATTCAAATGTTTGCCGGTTAGTTCTACGGTTGTGTACGCTAATTGTCACGCGACTTATCGCGACGAATGTATCCGTCCTTTTGTAGAAGGTGCCTCGCTAACATTTGAATGTATGGTTTCATACATTCGAACATTTCTTTATTTTGACTCCGTTTACAAAAATTCGAAGGATTTTCATAAAGCAACAATGTCCAAAAAAAATTCCGGCAAGACGCCAGGGGCTGCCACCCCGAACCCTGTTATGAAGTTTATAATATTGTTGAACCAGTGTACCTCAGAACTTGTCAACAACGTTAATTAAAATTTCCATGGGATCTAATAAGTCCAATCACATAAAATAACATGATGACACTAAAATCACCAACAAAATCAATCGAAACCTCCATGTTTGAGTTTATTTAGCTACACGTGCAAAGACACTGATAAAAGTAGCATAAACGTACAAGGAGCAATAATTTTATCCTGTGAAACATTAAAAGATGAAATACTTCTTTCTCGATTTAATTGTCCACTTTTTCTTTTTGGGGTGCCCAGAATTAGTTGTCCACATACCATGTTTATCAAAAGCAAATTATTGTGAACTGTCAAATGACCCCCTAAAGAGCATATTAGCATTGCTGTCTTCAATGGACAAGAAAATTTCAAAGGGTTTTGTTTTTACTATTTTACACATTCCTTAAAATTTGAGGCACTTTGGACAACTAAATCCATATGAAGGGAATATGTCCAGTATAAATAATAAGACAGTCTACTCACCTTCTTTAAGAGCATCACAAACTTCTTCAGTTGTCACATTTAAAGCTTTTAGAATGATTGCTAAGTTCTGTGCCTTCTTTTGATCAATAATTTGGATAAGGTGATTAGGAGTGTCTTGCAAAGGAGAGAATTTATTGGTCTCCTTGTTTTTATCCACATGGGCATAACCAAACAGACTCTCTATCATCTCTTCACTAAACCTGTTTTAAAAAGAACGGAAGAAGCAAAAAACAATGAAGAAAACAACACTTCAATTTCTGTTTTGAGCATATTAGTATATAAAAAATTTAAACATCATAAAAACAATAATATTTTTAAAGGCCTCACTGGAAGGATCCTGATTTTATCTGATGCCAAACCATTGAGTGATCGGGGTTTGCTAGGACCTTGTCCCAGAAGAAAGGCTTCAGCTTTGTTTTTGGGCCATCCTGTCCTCCCTCTTCAGTGGCACCCGTTGAAGAATGACCTGGTCGAACATCTGATTGTTGAGGCGGCTTCAAGCCCATAGGAGGAGGTGGTGGTGGACGTGGACCAGCCTTGCCAGAATGAACAGGAGGTGGAGGTGGTGGTCCAGGTGGGGAAACACGTGTGCCACCAGTGGAAGGCCTTGGTGGTAAAGGAGGTGGAGGAGGGGCACCTTCCTTAGCTGGAGCAGGGGGAGGTGAAGGTGGAGAAGGTGATTTAGCTAGAGATGAAGGATGCAGACGATCTGTGTTAGCCAGAGAGGGGGAAGCTGAAGGGGTTGATTGGACCTGAGGTAGGGGCACATGGGGATTCACCCTACCAGGGGGAGGCTTTAGCGGAGGCAGCCCAGCTATGCCCAGGTTTTCAGGTGCAGAGACCTCAATCGAGGTGACAGCAGCACTCGAGACTGCTCCTACAAGAACTTCCATTTTAGATATATTGGATGCCTGTGGTCCCATGAAGATACTGCCACTGAACTGGTGATTCATGTAGTAATTCCCACCAGATTGGCGTTTAGACGAATGATTACTAGATTTTTCATCATTCAATGAATTTCCTGAAGCAAATGATTACCCCTGGTCAGTCAAGTACTTCGCAAGAAGAGAATATTAATAATTAGCATAGCAGAAAATAAGTTATAAAATTAAGGAAAGCATAATAAGCATGAGTTTACCAATAGAATAGTCACTTAAGCTCAAGCATAAGAGAGGTCTTTCATCATTACGTCTCCTTCCGGACCCACTCAAGCAAACCTTGTAACAACATATAAACAGTAGAGAAACTACAAAAAATGTCAGTGCCGCAGTCACAGAAACAGCAATGGCCACAGTTCTGTGGTTGTTTTGTTTTTTCGAAGGTGGACCTGAACTCGAAGACCCACTAACTACAGGTTGCAAGCTTGAGTTTCTAGAAATTGGCTGAAAGAATGGGACTACAAGAGCCTGAGCAGGTGGTGGAGTGATAGAAGCTATAGAACTTGAAGCGGCTGCACCAAATGAGGCCACTACTGGAGATGGTGCTGGTGCTTCTCCATAATTTTGAACTAATTCACGTCGCCTCGGAGTGCCATCAAGCCAAGCAAACAGAAAATCCAAACACCGTGCAAACCAATTTTTTGAACGTTTTTCCTCCCCAGAGACTAGAAAACTGAGATGCTTCTTTTTTAAACAATCCAGAAGGGTTTGTTTTATGAATGGATGTACAAGACTTTCAAATTCCGTCGAATCTCTTTTGGCTGGGTGCCTACTTCTAGAGCTAATATCAATATTTCCTGTAAATGATTCCTCTAGGACCGAAAATTCATGGTCTTCAACTGCTTCCTCTGCCTGTGTCAACTCTATCCCGCAATTTAGCCATACTAGCTCGGCCTGTAGAAAGACACTTTTGTCCAATTATCATATGTTTGTACGAGGGTAAAATATACTCTGTATTTGTCTTTTCGAAGTCAATTTCAATAGGGATAATAAGAAATAAGAAAAATTCACAGCAATACTAAGTGACTTTTCCATCACAGCAATGAAACAGCCTCTCTACTTTCGAGTAGGGGTAAGGTCTGCGTACACACACCCTCCCCAGACCCTATTCTTGTTGGATTCAACTGGGTTGTTGTTGTTGTTGTTACAGCAATACTAAGTGAAATATGAGATTTTACAAGAATACTCCAATATTAAATAATTATCATATACACTTTGAGAAATTCAACATTGTAATAATAATACTCCAAGATGGCATATTGATCAAAGATAGGCCTTAAAAATAGGTGGATCAATGTAAACTCTAGACTCTCTTGGAGTATTATTGTGAACATACTGAACTTCTAGGAGTGCTGATGATAATTATTTAACCTTTGACCATCCGCACACATTTCTAACCAACTAATAGAATAGATATATGGACCACTACCATATTTCAAAGCATAAGTATAAGATGGTACCCGCAATAGAAAACATCCATAGTTTATAGTTAGGTTTTGATATAGGGAATTTCCCATACATTCATGTTCAAGAGCAGAAAATACTTGGAAATTAAGAAATAAGAATAAACTAATGAAATTGCAATAGAGCCTTAGCAAATCTGAGCCTGAGGTTTAAATGTAGAAGGAATGATAGGTCTATAAAATTCATTTCCCATCCAAGATGAGAAAAATGCAACTTTCTGTGCAAAGCTAATAATGTGGTCAATGCTGTAAAGAAGAACAATTAGGCAACCAGAAAATTGTTCCAACAAATGACTTAGATTACAGGTATGCAAAGGTAGAAAGATATGAGCATAAAAAACCATACCCCGCTGTGGTGTATATCCCTTGAGTTGATTAGAGTGAACAAAATATGCTCTTCCGGCCTCCTGATGTTCTTCTCATGGCAACTTCCTTTCGCAGTCACAAGCAGAATCACAGATATAACTAATAAAAGAACGCGATTAGTACACATTAGGTCTTGATTGAATTGGTTTCCAAAACCCTCTCAGTGTATTTATTTTTTCATCGATCATCCCAAAACATCAACCCCAAGAACCTCAAAACCTCTTTAATAATTTCCACAGAGAACTCTCCGCGAGGATAATCACCAAAGAGAAGCACCTATCCAACAAAAAACACTTGCAGATGCCGCAATTCTATACTAACAGTCTGAATTCTTAGTTATTCACTACTATATTTCATCCAAAACTCGAATTTAGTGGTCAACTACACTCACAAAGGGAAAGAAACATAAATGAAATGAACCCTTTCTCATGAATGTCTGCTTTCGAATCAAAATCCAAATATGGAATTGCAGTGCGAGAAAAGCTCCAAGATAATGGATCAATCCAACGATCCCTTCCCCAAAACCCCCAAGAAAATCGCTTTTAAGTTAGAAAGTCCACCGGTTGAGTTAATGTTATGATGATAAGACCAAGGCAAATGAGATCCCTAAGTTCAACGATGGGCAACAGGAGATGGGAAGAACAGAACTGAGGTTTGGCTCAGCGCGTATATTGACCAGGAAAATTCCCATTCTTGGAAGCCGACAAAAGTTGGCGGAAGATTATACTGATCATTGTTTTTGTTAAACTATACTCGTACCAGTGCGTTGCACGGCCTAGTTATAAACTATATAATTAAGAAAAGCATTGTATAAACTATATAATTAAGAAAAGCATTGATGAAAGAAAATGATAAAATTAAATAAAAATAAAAATATATAATCAAATATTAAAAAAATTTGAATACTATACATGTTCATCGCAAAAGATCATTTCCATTGAATCTTATCCTCTTGTCCAAATCGGAACAAAGTAAACACAAATGGCTCGTAACATAAGCATCTAAGTTGCTCGACTTATCTAAATATCGGCGAGTTTATTCCACACTCTTTGAATATTTTGAGACATTTTTCGAAAGTGCATTCCACATCCTTCCCATTGATTTATTTTTATTTGACATAAAGTTTGCATCGAATCACGCACCAACTCTACTACGCACGCGATTCCATAGTAATACATTATCCATTTGTTTATTTTGATTTGACATAAAGTTTGCATCGAACCACACACCAATATTGTTACGCGCGCGGTTCCATATCAATATACTACTCATTTATTTGATTTGACATAAAATTTGCATCGAGCCACGCATTAACATTACTACACACGCGATTCCGTATCCATACACTACCCATTTATTTATTTTGATTTGACATAAAGTCTGCATCGAATCACGCACCAACTTTACAACGCACACGATTCCATATCAATCCACTAACCATGAATTAGGCCCAATTCAAAATGCTCAAATCCAAATTGGATAATTCATTAATTTAGGCGAGAACACTATTCAAAAAATCTTCTTAGCTTTGTATATAAGTAGATTAGATTAACTTTCAACTTACCAATTCTTTCCAGCAACGAATTAAAAATATGTTTATATATGATTAATATAAGATGTTATTATATATCAAAATCTATAACATATATCACATCAAACATGAACAATTATAAATTTCTTTAATCTAAACATAAAACTTTTTACATATTGATTTGGATGATCATTTAATTGAATGATCTTTTAACTCATAAATTCTTCTAATATTTTCTAATTTTTTCTCATTTTTTTCAACTCCTTGTTTCTTTCAAGATCTAGCTGGAATTTCATTTCAAAAGAATAGAGTATATTGTTGTTTTGGTAAGTAAAAATCTAACAAACGCACTTTGTTCAAAAAGTAAGTTCATGCAACTATTCTAAATATATTAGCACTCTTGTTTGTCAAATTGGTATTTTAAAAAATTTTCTCGATTTCAAACTACTTAAGTAAACTAAAAATTATAAGATGGGTAATAAATTGTATTGGAGCACAGGTTGTATTGGAGCCTAGTAATTGTATTGGATAAGACTCCGTAGAAAAAGGGTGGGGCGGACTTTAAACTCGGAGTCAACTCCGCTTTAGAGCACAAGTTGAAGTCCGGCACTACAACTTTCCTCTTCATCAACCAAACCACACAACTGAAATACGGATCGGATGCGCCCTAGAGAAATAATCAACCGAATCACCGGCGCACGGTGGCGCAGATAATATGATTCTCTTCAACTCTCTGTTGCTTCTCCACGTAGAATTTTTTTTTCCAATTTGATATTTGATTCTCAATTTCTCATTTCATTGGAAATCTCAACTCAATTCCAGCCTTGTGATTTTGTTTTGAAAATCGTCTGAGAAGAAATAGATTGAGGAAACCATTGTTGGACGGGAAGTTTCTCAGATTCCGGCGATCGCAATGCCCGTTGCCGACAGCCATAAGTCCGACGGGAAGCTATGGAAGATCTTCCATTTCTGACAGCCTGGAGCTACATCTTCTGCTCACAGTATCCACTCCGGCAGCCAGAGCGGAAGCGTGCGGATCCTCCAACTCCCATCCTGCCGCATCCGTCTCGTCCGTTGCCAGATCCTTGATTCCGCCTCGGCGACGGCTCCGCCTCGATCCAAATAACCTTTGGCGTGGTAATTGAAGCTGGTTTGGCGGAGTATTCGATTCACCCCATATTTTTATTAGGTAAAGAAGCTTGCTTTGTAAGTTTAGCGTGCGATGGAGAAAGATAAAGATGTGGTACTGTAGCGCATTAAAAGAAGAGAGATCTACTTTTTGTGGCGCGTGGCTCAATAAGCAATTTGGACTTTTTATACACTTTCTGGCCGCTACTACACAAATGGGCACCATAGGTGTCATTTTCCAGTCTCTCCATTCCACAGGCCCATTTGGCAGTCATCCAGCCCAATATTTTGGGCGGGAACACTATTCAAAAAACTCACTTAGCATTGTATATAGTAGGATTCCAAAAAAATAGTACTCAATAAGGATGTGATTTCTCAAATTCTCATTGAAAGAACATACTCATCAGTATTTTTCTATTAAATTTCCAAAACTCAATAACCATGTGTTTTTTAAAATTAGTCCTCAAAATTAACTAAATCCCAAGATGGTACTCGTTAATTGAAAATAATGCTTACTTCAGTCTCCCAACTTACGGGCAATAAAATGGCGTTAAAACGATGCTAAACTTTTATACTACTTTCCGAAATGGTACTTTCTAACTGGTATTTTTAGTCTATTTTTGAAATAAAAATACATTATTTATTAAAGAATTTTTTAAATTCTATAAGATGACAACATAATACTTCAAACTATAAATATAATTCTATAAATTTAAAAGTAAGTGTTTTTGATTATTTATAATTATTTAGAAGACTAGCATGTAAATAAAATGTTTAATATTCATTAAAGAAATCACCCTAAATAGAAGTAAAAACAAAGAAAGTACCAAAATATGAGCTTTTTCTTTATGCTTTACTCCTATTTAGGGTCATTTCTTCAACATTTATTAAATATTTTGTTTACATGATGTTCTTTTAAATAATTGTATATAATCTAAAACGTTACTTTCAAATTTAAAAAATTATATTTATAGTTTTTAGTATATTATTAGAGAAATCACCCTAAATAGGACTAAAACATAGAAAAAGTACCAAAATAAGAATTACATATTTTTATTCCCGAAATAAGAGTTCGCATTGTGGTAATGTGATGGTAATGTGGCATCTTACATGTGCACATTACTATAGCTTTTGGTAATGTACACGACCATGCATGTTTGGTAGTGTAAATGCATTTTATCTCCTATTTCGAGAATAAAAACATGAAAGTCCTATTTTGGTATATTTTTAATGTTTTACTCCTACTTTTGTCTTTTTCCCATTTTATTATCATCCTACAAAATTTAAAATATTTTTCCATAATTGATATATTTTTATTTCGAAAATGGACCAATTTGAGAAAAACACCTAGTTAGGAAGTACCATTTTGGAAAAGTAATATAAGGTTTAACATCTTTTTAACGTCGTTTTAACGGTCATTAGTCGGGATGACTGAACTGAGTATTATTCTCAAATATCGAGTATCATTTTGGAAATTAGTTAGTTTTGAGAACTAATTTGAGAAAACACATTGTTATCGAGTACCATTTTGGGAAATTACTTGTATTATTCTTTTGAGTGTGCTTGACACTTTGCCATAAGAATAAAACTATATAAACATTAAGCTGTGTTCCGTTCAACTTATTTTTTTTCTTTATATTACTTACTTTTATTAGAACCAAATTAGATAAGATCTGATTTAATCAGAGTAGATCAGATCCAGTCAAATAAGATCATATCTAATCACATCAGATCCAATCCAAATTATTTATTACTCTGTATTATTATTATTATTATTATTATTAAAATCTATTATTGTTATCAACTTGTAAGAAGATATGGATGAAGTCATGAAGGAACGTGTTTAGTCATGAAAAGGATAACACCCCCTAGCTTATTATTATTATTATTATTATTATGACATAATATTAAAGTTGGATTTAAAGGTAATACTCATGACACATTCGTGTCGAGCTTTTGCGAATGATCAACACTAATTGTAGGTTTTCACCCTTCAATGTATCCTTAGATTCTTGTTTGATAATAGTTTAGACTTAGGATCTCAGGTATATCGTTCAATTGGAACATCATCTCGTATTCATGCATAGTGAGTTGGTATCATTAATTCATAGTTTTAACAACAATTTCAAGGTTTATGATTCTTGGTTCTTCAAGTATGTCAAACACAAAATCAACCAAACGGCCGTTTATGAACGTAGAAACGATCTATTAGAACATTCTAGTCACTAGATATATCTGCAGGCTTACCTCGAGCTAAAATGAATGTTTTGAGAATTTTCCGGTGAAACTTCTAGCGGCAATTGCTCCCAGCTCTGGCGACTTTGAGCTCTCTGAGCAGCACCTCTATACTCTCCACTCTCTAAGGAACTCACAACAATAAGGTATAGGAAGAATGGTGGAGAAATGAGGTAAGAGAGTGTTTCCTTATATAGTGAAGAGGAGGAGAAGAAGACGCAGATGCTGAGTCAAGAAATCAATTAGCCGATCTTTCAATCGGCGGAAATTGGCTTACTGGGATTTACACGCTGCAATATGATTAGGACCAATTTTGGTTCCAGTTGGGGTACACTTTTTGCTCTAACTTTCTCCGAATTAAAATCCAATTGAACCATTGCGATCAGACTGTCAAACTCTACACAACGATATAAGTTTCATTATTTATTGACAAACTTTATAATTCACTTATTTTTGGGTCCTTCTCAGTATTAATTAATTATCAATCAATTAATTCTGATGGGCCTATTTTCAGGGTGCTACAGTAGCTCATCGATGCCATGGATTTGGACTTGGATTTCCCGGTGGCAGCGGCCTTTCCCTTGTCTTTGGCCATTTTTGCAAAAATTTTGAGAAGAGAGGAAGATCTTGATGAATTATGCCTATAGATGCAAGAGAAATGAGAGTGTGTGAGTAAAAATGGATGAATGGGGTGTAAATATATAGAGATGAAGTGTTGGAACCGTTCAGAATTCAAAAATATGGCAGTTGGAGCATTAAAACTTGTGTCCAATGGATTTATTTTTTTGAAATCTACGCTCAGAACATCGATGTTCACTAGACTACATCGCTGTTGGAACATCAATGTTCATATTTGAACATCGCTCTTGGGC